CGGCGGCTCGCCGCCCGGCCTTCCGGCGCCGGCCAATCAAAAGGAAGGGGCGGGGCATCGCGGCCACGCCATTGGCTCGCTCCGGCGCCTGTTGGACCACCTGAGGCCAAACGGGCCCGCCCATTCCCGGGCCCGGATCTGTAGAGCGACGAGCGCATCGATGATGCTCACGCTGCGCGGGACCCGGGCTCCGCGCCCGGAACCGCGGCGGAGCGGGTTGCCGCGGGTCCTGGGCTCCTCGCCCGCGCACGGAGCTCCATCCGCGGCTCGGTGCGAAGGAGAAGCTCGGGGAGCTGTGCCCTCGCCGCCGCCGCGCCTTGGTTCTGCGGCCTCTTCGCTTGGCGCAGCCGCAGCGATGGTAACTCTCGCAGAACCGCGCTTTACAGTTTGCCTGGCACTCGGATGCCTTACGCTCGCGTATCCATCGCTGCTTCCTCCCATCGCTGTCGTGCCCCTCAGCCCCGGGGCAGGGACCTGGCTCGTTGGTCCTGCCATGTGTGCCCGTGGAATGGGGGCCAGGGAATGTGGATTCTCACGACGACCCCGTGTGGGGATTGCACCCCCTTTCTGCGGAGGGCGAAGAAACCGGGCGCAGAGGCAGCGGGCAGAGCACGCACTTGTGGAGTGTGACGGGGCCAGGACTGAGCGTGTGGGCCGGGCCCGGCCCGGAGATCACGGCGCTGAAGCCCTTCCAGGTCTGCAGAGGCCACACGAGTTGTGACGCGGACCAGGTTAAAAGCAGAGGCAGACAGGAGAATCCTGCTGTCTCAAGCCAGACAGACTTTCGAGACTTTTGCAAAGTTGCCAAGCGATACTGCTCATCTTACTGGAGTGTCTTCTTGTTTGGAGAAATGGTCATTCAAAGGCTTCTGTTTTCGTTCTTAAAACGATAAATATTGATATAGCTAAGCATAAATTATTTTTGTGTCCGCTGTAGTTTTTCAGAGTGTGAAGGGATTCTGGGACCAACAAGTTTGTGAACCACCGATCTATTCAAACTCTTATTTTTATTTTTTACCTAACGTAAAAAATTTTTATTTTTTTGAGTCGGAGTCTCACTCCCTCGTCCAGGCTGGAGTGCAGTGGCACACTCACGGCCACCAAAGCCTTGACCTGCTGGGCTCAGGCCATCCTTCTGACTCAGCCTTCCAAGTAACTGGAACCACAGGTGTGAACCACCACGTCTGGCTACTTTAAAAAAATTTATTGTAGAGACGAGGTCTCGCCAAGTTGCCCAGGCTAGTGTGGAA